AGTGTTTAAACCACTGAGCCACCGACGCTTCGTAACTTACCCGAACTAAATGTGTTATTTGGATCTCGACCATATTTTACAATTTCTATATTCACATATGGTTCACTTTCTATCGCTTCACATGGACTTTTAGGTCGTCCTTTTTTACCCTTTTCACCATTCTCAGTTTTATTACCACCTTCAGTTCCATTTATATCTAAACTAGAACCTTCAGTTAGATTCTCAGATTGAGTTCTTGTTCTACCACCTTTACCTTCTCTGCCTCTGAAATAAAACAAAATGTACTTATTTAACTTGTATTCTATAGTTTATAGTCCCTTTAGATCCAACTTTAGTCCTTTTTCCTACGCACCCTTTTTGTCATAAGAATAGGATGGGAAGGGGTCGTGGATTTGAGGGCGGAGGACACGCATAGTCTTTATGTGCGTCTCCTACTCTGTCGTTTAAGGGTAGGCAACGTATCTATTGTGAATGTCTATGGGCTGCGATCGCTTTGTCATTTTGATGGATTCAGGTGGCCGCTTGCTCGTTAAAAAAAGTTTTATAATGTTAAGAGTTTATAAAAATAATAACCTACGTTTTAGGAACACTTGCTGTAGTTTGGTTAAGTCTGTCTGTTTTTCTGCTAGTTCTTTTATTACGTTTTTCAAATATATTTGTAACATCAGTTGAATTCGTTCTATTGTTTTGTAGAGGAATTACTGACATTTTCTTATCAATTTCATTTGATGTATCATTTTTATGTTTGAGTGGAATTACTTTTAAAATATCCGTTACTTCATGGAATACTCCTGATGTTTCAGCTATCGGACTAATAGTGAATATTTCTCTTTCAGATTCTTCTATATTAATAGCGCGTTTTCTTCTTTCAGTTTTCGTTTTTGTAGTCGTTTGTAATTTAGTTTCAGCACTCTGTAAATCAATATCCAATTCTTTCTTAATTTCATCCGTATTATTTTGATTTGAAAATCTTTTATGTCGTTTATCGACATATCTATCGAAATATTGATGTTTTAGTGCGTTTATACCACTTGCCATGTCATCTTTTGTGGCTAATTCGTGATCAGGGAATAATCCTCCTTTAAGGATTGTAATATGTGATGATTCATCATCGAATTCACCGGAATCTTCATATTCTGATACATCCTCGTGATGGACAACCTCCTCTTCTTCAGGTTCGTAAACAGGTTGGTAAGAATACAATCTGTGACCGATTGGTTCACCGTGTACGTTGTAAACTGTGTATACAGCTGTTGGGAAATTTTCTTCATCAGTTTCAACATCAGATCCGACCATTTCATCTTCCTCTTCTACATTAAGATCGAATTTCTTCATCAGTTTGAAGTTGGCGTGTCTTAAGGTCGGTTTTTGTGTACCATGGTTATATTTCTCATATAACTGGTTGAGGTACTCTTGGTTAGGGTCAGTTTGACGGCGGAGATTGTTGTAATACTGTCGAAGGTAAGTAGACCTTCTGTGACGTATTTCTGGCTCTGTTATAGATCGTCTTCGGCGACTCCATCGGATGCGTGGATGTTGGTACAGGGTACATCTGTAAATAAGCAATTAATGTATTGGAATGTTTTAGCGTATTTCTTTTGCTTTGATTTGATTTTTACATACTTTGGTAATTCCCTAGGACTCCAGTGACCACCGATGCAAGTCGCGCCCGGCGGGCCTTCAGATAAAACGTAACCTTTCTCACATTCGTACATAATCTGCTTATTGTTCACCACCTATAAACAATTCATCAGTCAATTTCATATCATGAAAAATATTATCAATTTTGTTCCTTACCTTCTTAACATAAGGTCTATAATCGTATAACCCCATGTTGCCTACTAAAAACACTTTCCCATTTTCTATGTATCCAGGGAATGGACAAAACACTGAAATAGAAAATGGTTTACCTTCAAAGCTATGATTCACTTACGATTTTTTTTTTATTATTTTTGAGCTAAATTATACATACCTTCCTCGCACTTCGGAGTCTCTCCGCTCCAATTGCCAAAAGAACAAACAACTATAGGATTCCCTTTCAGCTCAAAGCCGTCTTTACATCGAAATCTCGCTTTCATTCCGTGCTCAGTTTTCGGAGCTATCACCATCCCATTCCTTGGAAATTTCGGCATCTTCTTACATCTAGTAATTAACAATGACAGTCTGAATGTACAATTCTGTCTAATTTTATAATAATAACATAAAGAGTAGAGTTTTGTATTTCAATGTATTGAAATAACTCAAAAAATACTGGGCCGATTTCAAAACTTTACTTCCCATTAAAAAGCTAAGTTATCACTGAGTAACATAGACTACTGTTTTTTATTCTACGAGGACGAAATCGCGAGCAACAAAGTTTTATGTGCATGGTTGTACCTTGCAGGCTGACATCTCGGTATCTGTGTCCATGTTCCATTGTTACAATTTACCGCTACATTATTAGACGGAAACTCATAATTCTGTTCACAATCCACTAAAATTACTTCACCTAAAAGATTAAAATCAAATTAATAAACACGCCATCTATCGTCAAACTATGTAATACATTTATAAGCGGAAAAAAAACAAACCGTGTTGCACCATTGTAGAACTACCGACAATCTGCGTGACCTCCTGTGTTGTGTTATCTTCTGTTCTGTTCTCTAATCGCACCACTCTGCCTTGAGATACATGAGGAACGACGCAGGGAGCTAAAAAATAAAATATAAAATTGTTTACTAGTCAAAACATAAAGGATGGGTCTAGGTAATGACCCTTGGGGGACACCTAAGGTCATTAACATTTGGTTACGAATAATAAGTAATGTATTACATTCGTGTTTTTTTAACGGAAACCTTTGCCAGATATGTTGCCAGTTTTGAGATATTTACCTAGGCATTTAGGTAAGGGATGGCTCCATGTTCCATCACTTTGGCAAATAGCTGAACCATTTCCCTCCATCCTCATACCATCTTGACATCTAAATATGATGGATGCTCCTAATCCAGTCCCGGATGATATATTCTCCAGCCAACCGTTCCAGAGCAGACCGGGATGACCGCAGTTGATTTCTTAAACAAAATCAATGATTTACTAAGTTTATGATATATTAGAACAAGAAACATGATCAATTTTGTATTAAATTTGTGCATGGTTATGTTTTCCATAAGTTCATAGTTCAACCTGAGTTCCAAATATGTTGTAAGTGGTAGTAAAGGTTACAGAAGATAGTTGTTCAAAATTAAGTGTTAACCCACCTTTACACATTGGCTGAGCTCCAGACCACTTCTTATCAGCTCCACAGCGTCTTGTCGCGTCTCCGACCAGCCTATAGCCGTATTTGCATTCATACGACACCACAGAGTTGTACGCGCACGATGTGTATACAGCTTTGCCGTGTCGAGGCGCCTCTGGCGGCGGGCATTGCACCTGCGTGACCACTAGATGGCGACACATGTCGCTTTAAAGTAGCTCGGATTACAATAGATGGCGTTGTTATTAATATTTCAAAAGCTTTTTTACAATAATTAATTTTAGGTAGATTTGGGGCACATGCAGAATAGCAATATCAAATTCATGCAGAGTAAATGAAACAATGTAGTATCGTTTACCTTTATTTCGCTACAACATAATACAATGTAGATATAAGTTGTTACAATAAATTGTTTACTCGCTTTATATCGAAGCTTCAACTACAATAATTCTACGTAAATATTACTATTATTTAGGCTATAGGCAGTTAGAGGTTATTTAACATATTTTACCATGGCCATGGGAAATTTGTTATTGACAAGAACACAGGGATCGAAGAGCTAATAGAATTTTAATATAACAACATTTCTATGGATAGATTGTAACAAGTTTAAACGCTACGTATTGTAATGATCGATTCAAACTGTCCCCTTATCTCCTCCTTCTGAACAGCAGCAGGAAAGGAGAAAAAAGATGTTTAAAATTTCATAAACCACAAACGACTTTTTGAATGGATGTCCCACATTATATTGAAAACTGAATCCAAAAAAACAAATGAAAACTCAAAAAACAATAATCAAAATACAATAATAGTTACAAATAATAAAGACAAAGATATTCTTTTTAAAAGTTATTTGTTAAATTAAATAAACGTTTCGGGATTAATAATCAATTGTTTCCGATTAGAATAATCACTATGACAGGTGTTACATAGATTATGCACTCCTGTCAAAGAATCGTTATGACAGAAGTGACATAGAGTATACACTCCTGTCAAAGAATCGATTCTAATCGTAATTAATCGATTATCACTCCTCAATATAAAGATTTCAATGCAGTGGGAGATCCTTTAGACTAATTGCATCATGACAATGATATTGCTCTGAATGATAGCCATGATAATTTGTAAAACATCAAGCGTCATGCCAACTATAATCTGGACAACATGTAGACATTGAATCCACAACTCGAAAACCATGCAACATTCCAATAACAAATTAATAACGACACTGAAATCGGCAACTACATTGTCACGAAGCAACGCCACGTACGCAAGATTAGAGTAAGAAAAAATTAACGATGAGTCTGTGAATATTTTAATAAATCTAACCAAGACTTCCCAAATCTATATATCAAATATTATGGTAGAATCTACGTCGTAGCTTCTTGGAGATTTGAAAAGATAGTTAATCTAAATATATTTGGTTCTTTGAATTTTGTTTTAAGTACAATTACGTCTAGTTTTTATCACATTTCAACAATATTAATTACTTTATTATCTACATTGGCATTATTATCTTTTTTACTGCCTTGGCTGTTTAAAATTCTACCTTTTTTAGTTAGACCAGTATAATCACCAGACTCATCATTAAGATAAAACTATTGAATTGTGTCGGTACTTACGGACACAAGTGGGTAATTCTTTAGGTGCCCAGGCACCGTCAGCCTGGCAGTAGCGCTCCGCCTTGCCGACCAGCTCGAAGCCCTGCCCGCACTGCACCACAGCGCGGCAACCGAAGGTATGGCAGTCCGCGGTCACCCATCCATGAGGTACATCGCCTGGTTCACCGCAGGAACGAGCTGTGGAAAAAAA